TTGCAGGTTTTCCATCAAATAAAGCTTACCCTTTTTTTCAGATTTTTCATCATAAATTTTCAGTAAAGCAGCTTCCCTTCAAGCATCAGAATGGTGCAAATTTTACACCAGAAATTATTGTTTCTCTATTCAGCAGAAGGATGCAAATTTAACACCAAAAATTTTCCGAAAAGCTTGTCCATCCGTACACTAGAACGGTGCAGATTTTCCACCAGAAATTTTCAATATATAGCTTAATTTAAAATAAAGCTTGTGCCTTCATTTACCAGACAAGTGCATGTTTTCCACCAGACATTTTCTGTTCATTTCATTTATCAGAGCGATGCAACCCTCCCTATAGACATGGAGGTTGACGTTACTGAAGGGTTATGTTTAATTTCTTTGTATTTGCAACGATGATGATTTCCTATAGAGACACATATCACCTTCTTAATGCTTCAGTATGCCTCAAGCGATTAATTCTTGGTTGTTAATAGAACTTCCTTGATGAAATCGGCTGCTTCATGCAGACTGAGCCATTCTGATTATAGTAGCAGATTTGTTCTGCATACAGCGGAACTGAGAGGGCTTATTAGAAACTTCTCACCAATAAAGTAATGATCTTCTAGTAAATTTTGCATATAATTTTATTAATATTTTATTATTATTATTATTATTATTGTTACAGTCGATTAGCATTAGCATACGATACAAGAGATTTAATATTACTTGCTCGTTTTTGCGTAAAATAATCAATATTTATTTTACTTGTAATTACCTTTGAAAGTTTTTTCAAGTTTTTGTGATCTGATAGATTTTCCAGTTTGGTTAGAAGTTTCGAAGCTAACGCATGTCTACAGGCCTAATAGAAAGATAGGCGGAAAAAAAGTGTATCATAAAGAATGGTTGCATGCAGTGTTGCTTCCACTCACTTGCTATAGATGAGTGATTTTCGGAGTTTTGAATTCGTTAGATGTTGTAATGGAGATTTGTGTTGTTGGATGCGGGAGGAGATTTGAGGGCGGGTGTTTGACGCATAGATAGTTCAAGCAGTCCGTAAAACTTCCTTTTGTTATGCATTCGTTAAATGCATCACGCAAAATGATAGCAAAAACGTGGTGGTGCCTTTTGACAAACTCAGCTGAGATTCCATCTGTACCGCAGCTTTAACCGTTTTCTAATTCCTTAATTCCCAGATAACTTTTTGTTCCGTAGTAGGTTGAAGGAAGACCGACTCGCGAAGCGGAATTAGCGTCCCATACTTATTGATTTCGCGGTGACTGTTGATTGAAGTGGCAAAGCTGAGGTCCAACTGAACTTAAAAAATCATTGAAAGCATTTGAAACTGTGGGTTCATGTCTTGTCTCTTGTCCGTTCACAGTGAGCTTAACTGCATCATATCCTTCCTCGCTTCGACCAAGAACCTTATTTATGTTCCTCCATACGGTCTTCTGGTTTGCTTCGTTGAACAGTTTACTGTAATAGTTCTTCTTGGCACGATTCTTTTCTCGCTGGACCTTCCTAGATAGTCTAACAGCTCCTTACAACGCATGTTTGACGGATATCTCTTGTAGTTTTTAAGAACGTTATCCTTGATTTTAATCAGCTTCCAGAGGTCGAAAGACATCTATGGACATAATCCTTTGATTTTTGCTTCAACAGCAACTTTCTTCGTAAAATGCTGCTTCAGCTGTTGATAGGTATTTACTACTGTTCGCTAGTCTCTGCGCTTTCTTCCGGTATGTTCTCCATTGCAATACGGAAAGATTCATTTAACTGTGCGTTATAGACTATAGTTTTCTCCAGTCGATGTTTTTTTACAGGAGAAGCGAACGGACCTCAGTTGACAAAGGTCATCCTCTTAGTAGAATGATTGTGTGTGTGTGTGTGTGTGTGTCATCCTCTATCCCTCACCCAGCCGGGGGCGTTGGACAAGTAGAACTGCGAATAATTTGATCAAATCTCATGCTCCGTAATGGTGCCCTTTATGTTATGAATACTAGTACTTCAAAAAGGGTAACTTTTGAGGCAAGACAGGGTGTCCTCAACAAGTTAAGGGAACAGGATGCACTAGATGTCCACAACAGGTACAGCAAAACATCACATAGACGCCCTTATTCACACTAACTACTCAGGGGGTAGAAGGTCAAGAAGAGCCACCGCCGCCAACTAAAGCTTGAACCGGGTACCTGGGACTCCCACGATATACCCGCGGCAATGGTCAGCAGACGATGCCCTGTGCGTATTTAGTATGTAATATGTTTTATTTGGATACACAAAATGTTTGAAGACATGCGTCATCTAAACCATAATTTGCATCACCACAAATACACTTGTCAACAATCTTCAACTGGAACGTTCTCACCAAATCACTTCACCCGGGAGCGCATTCCCGATGCTTCCACGCATATTTTTTTCCCTCCACTCCAACCACACAACAACCAAATATCACTTTTCTTCACTTTTATTTTTCAAGTCACTCCGTGCACAAAAGCAATGCACATCTCAAAACCCTGACAATAGATCAGCGCACTTCTCATCACCGCGTAAATAAACAGAAATTAAAATTTTCACTCGCGATGCCACAAATTTCTGGTCCGGGAGAAACAACCAAACCACGCCAATTTTGCAAACATGATGAATCATGTTTTCTTTCTCGATTCTAAAACTTCTCGGAAAGCGAGAAACCAACACTCACACACGTATAACCGTCCGGGAGGCAGAGTGCCAGCGCTAATCCGGCAAATGCAGCCGAAAACTATGAAAACGAATGCACGCACAAAACAGAGAACGAACTTCAGTGAGTGTAAGTAAAAAAAAAAAAAAAAAAAAAAAAAAAAAAAAAAAAAAAAAAAAAAAAATAAAAAATAAAAAATAAAAAATCACCTCTTCGTAGAATGATTGTCATCGCAAATTGAAATGCACATGGTATGATGTAAATAATTCTATCGAAAGTCATTTGCTGATCTGAGCAGAAAATCAAGGTGGAAACATAGTCATCGCTATCAGAGGTGGTACGAACATTGGAAAAGCGTGGAAACCGAAGATTGTGTATTTCTTGGTGGAGAAAGTTTCCTCTACCAACAACCGATTTTTGTATCCATGATGGAATAGCTGTTCATGGCTATTCAATATGTAAATATAAACAATCGAATTATAAATCTAGTCTAAAGCATTTGCAAAACATCATATTCTTAAATTGTTGTCCTCTGAGGACTGTATGTTTTGCAGCCAATTTTCTAATAAATATCATCCTTTATTTGGATGACAGTCATGTGCAAGCTAATCAGCTGACGACGAGTTCAACCATAAGGCAATCTTCCGAAATTCGAAAGCATATTGTTAAAGGCCTCGAGCAATGCAATAATCATTCGAAGTATTGCGGATGCTTTCGTTCAGTGTATTGACAGCAATTCACCTCAACTCACACGTGCCGTGGCGCAAAATAGGACTAAGCAATGCTACAACTTTTTCGATCAGTATTGAATTAAAGACTTTCGGCTTCGTACAAATTTACAAAATGAAAAAAAAAAACTTAGGTAAATTTTGTTTACGGTAAATCATGAAAATTATTGAGTTTTTTATAGTCATTATTAGGTATTATGTGGTTACCGTGCATAAGATTTTTACTATTTGAATGGCACAAACTGTAATACCGAAGTGGTAATTTGATAGAAACGGTTCAACGCGTGATTGATTCACTACGTTCCGATCAATTCATTATCATCGAACCATATCTCTTCTTTCAATTGAGGTACGCAACTGCTGTGACCATGAGCTACTGAAGCTCAGTGTACTCGCCTATGAGCCCAACTCATGGTGTTGGTCTCAACACACTAAGATTATTTCACCGAAATCTGTGAAATTTTACCGAAATCTCAATATTTAGCTGAACGTTCGGTAAACAGTTTGGTGATTTTTCAGAGATTTCCTGTAATTTTTCACCGTTCAGCTGTTGAGATTTCGGTAAAATAATCTAAGTGTGAAAAATCGATATTAACCACTTTTTCATGTATTCTTCAGGTTTCTCAAAAACTGTTTATCCTATAGATTAAGGTCATACTTACCACAGCAGTCTCTTTTTCTCTACGATTGAACATGGGTGACTAATTAACCGTATCTTCATTAAAGTTTCTAACCACTAAACAGGAATTGGCAAGCAGATCGGAAGCAGCAGACAGAGAAGAAGTGTTTGGCTGATTTGGCCATGTTGATCATTTATGATGATCAAGTTCAATACAAAAAAAAACATGATGAGTCATAATTTCAATAATTCGAGTGAGTGGGAAATTTCCTTCATTTGGATCCATTAAACAGCATATTTAATTCATATTTGTTTATTTTCAACTACAGTCTCTTTGTTTTCGATACTTACACTAATGAACAATAATTTACACAATCGCACTGTTTTCTTTGAGGTGATTTTCGTTTAAAAATAAAGCTTAATACGATTACCTTAGGAGTCTTAGTTTCCTTAAAAAAAAACTCATTCCGACCTTCCACTGCCAAAACTATCTACAAATGCATCTGGCTACGATAAACAGTACTCACTTGACTTTCGCTTGTCTCTCCGTCCTACAAATAATTAACAATTACGGTCTTCGTCACACACAAAAAAAAAAACCTTAAAGAAACCTACAAAAACTTCTTGCACACTTTAGAGAAATCTGCCTAATCTCTGAGCATCTTTCCGTTCCGTGTGTTTGCTCTTTGCACGCTGCTATAATTGCACACAACATAATAAACAGAATGAGCTGCTCGGAGCTCCCAGAGAGGAAGAGAGATGGAAACAGAAAAGTTTACACATTCAGCACCTTCCTCGACGTTGAAGTCGAGCTACAATGGCACCAATTCTTGGCTCACACCAATATGGGATTATTCTTTCGTCTTCTTCCCGCCAAGTTCCACCGCCGGAGCAAAGTTTGCTTAGCCATCAGGAAGGCCCAAGCCCGGTCCCGGTCCCGGTCCCGGTCCCGGTCCCGGTCCGGAGGGATTTAAATTCCTCCATTCCCGAGCATGGGTAACACCCGGGAGATGGCGACGACAACGACGACGACGATGCAAGTATGCTCGATCGCATCCAGGTGTGAATGTGTGAGGAACTAATTTACACCCGTTTTTCTTTTTCTTTTTTTTTTGCTCTTTGCTTTGCATTTTGATTTGCTTTCTCGCGACTTCCTCGTTCGTGGATGCAGTCTCTTGGGTAGGTCTCCCCTACAACCCCCAGCCTGTGCTTTGGGTGCAGTCTTGATTAGCACCTTTTACGAGCGAGGTGGGAGCGCGACGAGTGGATCGGTTTACCGATCGTACCCGAGGATAGCGGATATGCTGAAGCCGAGCTTCTTGCCGGTGGATTCAGCGACGGATCTTTCGAGGGATTTCGGGGAGACGGGTAGTGGGAGGGGATTGAAGTCGCGTTTAAAGTGGTGCAGAGGGTGATTACTCGGGGACAGGGGGAGATGAGGCTGTTGGAAGTACGGTAGCATGAGATCCATCCAACCGGCAGCGGCGGCCATGGCAGGGTTCAGCATTTGCTGGTAAGGGTGTGAAGATCGGAGGAAGTCTTCATGGGGCGAGCAAGGACTGCGATGATGGTGCAGGTCGTCCACGTTGACCGGCGAGCTGGTGCCGCTGCTTGAACCGTCGCTGGCGGAGATATCACTGTCGTCCAGGGAGGCACTGTCCGTCCGTTGGCGTTTGAGCTCCGGTCCGGATTCGCCACCGGATTCTTCGGAATCTTCGATGGAGCGGGAGGTGCTCATGAGGCCGGCTTTTCGCTTGCAGCGGGATTGACCGGTTTCCCGGAATCCCTTTGCGAAGGGGTTGTGGTCGATCTTCAGCTTGGTGATACGATCGTTCTGTAAACAAAGACGGAGGGAGAGATGGAGAACAATGCGATTAGTTTTTTTTTTTTTTTGGGCAAGCGAGTTTTTGAGTGAGGGGAATGGCGAGACAGCGAACAAAAAAAAAGGATCAACAGACGCGGAGAGCGAGTTGAAGATGGTTATCGGCTGTGGTGAGGCAGTTGAGATTTTCGTCTCTTTTGCAGAGGAATGTCGGGAGAGACGGATGGCCAGAAAAAAAAACGAGTTGATCCTCAAATGAAGTCGTTGAAGCGTATACGGTTTGCTCAAGATCGACAGGTTTTGATTTTGGAATCGAATCAAAGCATTAGTGCCGCCCCTACCGCGTAAGATCTCTCTCTCTCCCTACATGGCTCTAATGGATCACCGGTCGTCGTGCGCGCTAAAAGGCTGCAGCGTTGATCGGACGGCGATTAAAAGGGTTTTTCGGTGGCGGTGGGTTAGAAGAACAAGAAGAAAAAGTAGTAATGCGTACCTGATAAGCGGTAACGGCGACGAATTCGGTCTCCGGAAAGGTGAAAGCGGACTGCGGGGACCAGGGGATCTGCGAAGGATCCGAAGTTTTGATGATATGAATGCGGGGCTGGTACTTGTGCATGCTGGTCAGGACGATCTGGAATAAGAGCAAAAAGCGAATGCGTGGGTGAGTGATGCGTATCCTTAAGGTCGCTTCAAAGTGATACTTACATGTCCGTTACTGTCCAGCGTGTTGTTGGTCAGCTTGACCTTGTTGAACACGACGGGTTGCGAAGTCCAGTGAGATCCCAGAGCCGGACTGTCCGGATGTAGGTACATGCGCTGGGGGCTCTGAGGCTCGGCGCCTCCCGCGGGGACCCACTGGGATCCACTGAACTTAAAGCGGCAGTCGCTGATTGGGATCATCTCTATCAGGACGCAATAGTTGTCCTCCGCTTCAAGGCCGTTGATCGAGAGCCGCATCGAGGGGAACATCCGTCTGCAAAGAAGAGAACGAAGCAAGGTTAGTGTGTTGACGCGTGAAGCCGTGAAAATGCGGGTCGCTTTTAACACTTCGACCTTGGGACCCTCCGAAGCATCGGGGAATGAGGTAAATTCGGGGGACCAAATTAACATTTCTTCACCAACGATTTCACGCTCAGTTACCGCGTTGAGCTGCCCGAGCTTTTCCCGGGTGTTTTGCTTAATTAAATTTTATTTGATATCAAATTATTCGTTCTCTTTTCCCATTCTTCTTTTGTCCTACTTTAACGGGCAGAGGGTGCTTTATTGCACAGTAAGGCTCGGACGAGGGGGATTCGAGGTCGCCGTGGGTTAGAGGTTTTATGCATTTTTATGATTTGTGAGTGATCGTAAAAATTTAAATATCCCCGTTTGGACTCTCTGGATCAGTTTGCTTCCACCGAAGAGAGCCTTGGGAAGATTTCTCGAATAATTACACTTTGGATGAGTTCTTCCCGCCGTCCATGGGACCGCTAGCAAGAGACTTGATTGATAAATCAGATCGTGTAAATTGGTCTACCCTCGGGACTTGAGCTGATCAAGCTTTGGCGCCAAATACGCACCGCCCACCCGCTGCGCCGTAGACAATAAACACTTCGTTTCGGGTTCGGCTTGTTCGCTTCAGTCCCGGAACAAGCGCTCCCGCTGGGATAATGACTTCTCGCTTCTTCTCCCGTCTCGGAGAGTTGTCTGTTACGGTTTTTTGTTATTGTTGCTTGAGACAAGTGACAGAGCGTTCTTCAGACGAAGGTGGGATTCTTGGAATCTGCCCAACTTCCTACACCCCTCCAGGAGTTCCCAATTGATTAACCTGTTACGGACGGCAACGGCAACCAGTGATCCAAGCGCCATCTGTGTCTGCAGGGATAGACTTCTATCCTTTGGCAATGTAAACACTTGTTGGTCCACTTGAACCGTGCCCAGACTGGACGTTAAACAGCGCTCCAGACATGGATGGTCCCAGCAAAGCCAGACGACCCGAGGCAAAACAAATCGACGAAAAAAAATCATAAATTTCATCCGCATGCGGAAATTTCAGGCTGCACGTTTTTACGGGAATACTCGCATACCAATCCAGAACAATTTTCGGGAGGAAGAACGAAGGAAGGACAATAGAGAGTATGAGACAAACTGCAAAACGACCGTAAACATAATTGGCGCCAAACGAACGAGCGACTCCGAAGTCTGCGTTCTTTCTCTCTCTCTCTCTATCTCTCTGCTCCTAGCAAAGGGGGAACTGTGAAGAAGACACTGAGGAGCAGCAATTTATGATTGTGCTAAAACAAAAAGGCACCTAATAAAAATGGGAAAGGGAACCCGAAGCTGTGCGGACGGAGAGTTATGATTTTCTCCGGTGGCGACAACGACGGCGGCGGCAGAAGTCAGCCGGGAAGGGACTTTTGAAGTGGTTGCTTCCCGGGAACCTGAGCAAACAGAATCTACAGACCGACGGGATCGTAAACGTTGGCGCCAAGGTCGGTCAAGTGTTAAAAGCTGTGTGAAATTCGGTTTGTTCGCACTCATATATCTGGATCGGTGAAAGGTGACGACCCATGTACTACATACCTTCCGCACTTGGTGATGATCATCTCTGTTCCAATGCGGTGAAATTGGCTCCAGAGTTCTTTGTTCTGTAGCTTGACGTCTACCTCCGAGGGCAGCGGGAAGCGCGGAGGTAACATCATAGGCCTTGGTGCTGGCACCGGTAGCATCGTCGGGTAAGGATCTGAGGAAATTGGAGAAAACGTGGAAAATTAGTCGAATGCGTGGGATAATTAACACCTCCGAAGAACTCCGGCCGTAATGATACTCATTTCACAGCCTAATGTGCTGTTTACCCAAACTATTCTAGTCATGCTAGAATCGAGGGACCGTCGGCTTTAAAATCTTCGTGGAAAATCCATTTGCTTCGCTTGTTGTAACATCATCAATCAAGTTTGGAGAGATTCTTAATAATTATTTGGAAGGCCGACGGTACCCATGCCTACCCCTGCGTAAGTTCGGGGTGGTCCAAACTGTTCCACCGCAGCACGTTCCTTTCAACCCACACGAAAGCGCAAGTCTTGAGACGGGGAGGTTCAAATCAAAATATGCGAAAATCTCCCTCCCGGAAATGAGATTTATGATTATCGCATCATCATCATCATCATCATCGCTGTAGTCGTTGAACTCGCGAAGCCCTTCAGCATCACTTTACCAATCCAAAATACTCAATCGAACGGAAGCTCTCGGTATCTCGCGCGCTACGAAGAAGCCCGCCCTCCCACACTGCTAACTAGAAGCTCGTTAATGCCAATTCCTACTCTTCTCTCAAGCCCGGTAACGGTACTCGCTTCCACCTTTCAGCAGCGGAACCCATGCTCGCTAACCCGAATTGATCGATTCATTGGATTACTCAACCATCCATGAACTGTTGTTAGTCAGCGCACGGCTTGGCCGTGCTAATTACAGTGTTTAACGGTGACGTTCAACCAGTCAGTGGAGCTCGGTTCGATACGATCCAAACCAAGCACTTCGCAGCCCTCGTAATGGTTCTAGATTTCCACGAAAAGAAGGCTAATTACGGGTTCCATGAACTATGGTAAAGCGATACTGCTTAAGGCCCTTCAACGACTCTTGGTACTCTCTATCTCTATTTCTCCGGCTCGCGAACGAGTTTCCAATTAAAACATTATCCGGGCACGCTAGCAATGTGGTTTAAACCGCAAGCCTGGCCTTTTCCGACGGCAAATATGGTGATTGCCGTTCGGACTGGACCTGAAGGAGGAATTTTAATTGGCAGCCGCTAAGTGCAATCCTTTTCGGGATTCACCTCGTTCTCTAGCGGGTGACGAAGATTGATGGCTTCGACACCTCCGTGTGCACCTTCAACCTCCTTCCATTATCAAATCGAATTGACATGTTAGATATTTGCCCTGGAAAAAAATTGCTTAACTAAAACCCATTCCGAACTTACCCGGCAAACCTTGAAGCATTCTCTGCCGGTAGATCTCCGTCTGCAGGGCCAAGTGGTGATGCATTCTTAAATCCATTAGTTCTGTCATGATGGCTAGGGCTTTGACTTTCTGGCCTTTGCCTTTCACAGTCCCCACTAATCACTTGTTCAAACTCGCTATAAAACTCAAGTTCTACGGTGTAATCCTTCTCCGGACCACCGCCACTTTTCTCCCCTCAATACCGAGACACTAATAAGTCTTCACTTCAACGAAGGGAAACTTCTCAAGTCACGCAATGTTTTCGCTCTACTCTTCTACTGGAACGTTCCACCAAACACTTCGTTAGAAAACTTCATCAACCCTTTCCAAACTCGTCTAGTCATAGTATATTTTTCACCACCTCAAAAAAAAAAACTGCTCACTTCTCTTTCTCACGTCACGTCAAAAATTTCAAATTCAAATTGCTCTCTCAATCAACACAAAAAAAATCAGTTTCACGATCAACTTGACTACGGTTCCACGTCCACCCACTTCCAAGTTCGCTCGTCAACTGGTTTCAGCTAAAACAAACATTCGAGTGCTAACTTCTTCGGGTTGCTCGTCTTCTTTCTGCTCCGCCATCCACACCACACTCACTCACTCACTCACTCACTCACTCACTCTCACTCACACGCCAAAAACCTGTTTCCAATCTTTCTCTTCCATCCATCCGCTCAACCCACCTATCTTCGATTCACGTTCCATATTTCTTTCTCCAGAATGCACTTGGGTTCGATTATTGTGGCGAGGGCGACGAAATACGCCTTGTAATCCAATACCGAAGCCGTTAAGACGACCTCAGCAGCTCCGGGCTGCAGTTTTCTTCATTTTCTTTCGTTGAAACTGGTCCAACCAGTTTCGTTGCTACCAACACTTGGAATGATCGTAAGCTCCTCCTCCTCCTCCGCCGCACCAATACTAGTCTTTCTACCCACCTTTGCAGTAAAGGAGAGAGTATTGGTGCAAGGGAGGGATTGCGTGATTCGTTGGCCGTTTCTTGTTTGATTGTTCGTTCAAGTGGAGTGGTATATCACACGTAGCCGTGTAAGTATATTGATTTAATTTTATTAAATGGCGTGAAATGTAAATAACTCGGTCCTGACTCGTGATGTGCGTTGTGCCCGGGTTTGGAATACGTTTCGGCTTGTACTAAGCTGTGATTTTATTCGGTTCTAATCAAGATGCCTGATTGGGGTTTATAGGACTGGCTCTGGAAAGTGGATTATTGGTTTTGTCTAGTTTCAGAATTAAGACGAAAGCGTAATTGGGAAGACGATGTAAAATGTTTCAGGAATAGATAAAAAAATATAGAGATAAACGCATAGCTCTATCACGCAGTGTAGAAAGATGAAGACGTAGATGAACTTTTATTCGAAATTTTAGGATCACTTTCTCTTGCTTTGAGTCTCCGGTAAATCTAGATGGATTGAACTTTGTGATGCTGGTTTTTTATTGAAGGAAACATATCAAGTATTTTTGATCAATAATTAATAAAAACACTATACTCAATCTCAGGGTTGATGCATATATTATGTCACGCTCTAAGGGGGAGGGGATCTAAGATTTTGTGACAAGCAATGCATTAGGTATAGGAAAAACGTCACGATAGGGGGGGAGGGGGTAATTTTTTGCTCGATTTAGCGTGACATAATTAATGCATGGGCCCTCACTTCATATTTGTACCGCAAGCTTGGGAGATTTTCTCTTGGATTTGTACTACAGTTTAAAGCTCCAACTCGGATTAACTTTTAATACCGTCCCTCATTGGAGGATCTACTAAATGTTTGTTACGGATTGTATTGATTAACATCGACGTCCACAATAAAAAAGCCTGGCATTCTTGATCAGGATTTAATCCGAGGATAATACCGGTTGGAGCTTTCACTATACATGCTTAATTTATCCAGACGTCCCAAAATATTTTGTTTTCATGGCCCCAGAACCTCTAAACTAGCTATTGCACACAGCAAAAAAATAATTTTAATATCACATCAAAGTGGATGCACTTCAATCGTGTCGAGAATATGTTGTAATATTACTTGCCATAGAGGACAAAAGTATCATTAATACAGCGCATGAACTGGTATTACGCAGCTTCTACTGCATTTGTTTATTGTTGTGGCCATAAAAATTACATGAGATTTTCGACACGGTTGAAGTGCATCCTCTTGGATGTAATATTAAAATTTATTTTTTGCTGTGCATAAACAATAAGTTTTCCGATGGCCATTAGATCGAAAGTGGATGGATGCTTTGGTCATAAACCCCAAAAATTGGATAGTGGAGATTGATATGGGATTTTTTTAAATCCTTTAATTAAAAAAAAAGAGTGCTAGTAAAAGTATTTCAAGATCGGGATCATTATTAAAGTTAGTAAAAAATTTCAAGATAAGGGACTTATTGATAAGACGTATTTTAAAACATAATGGAGGATTCTGGGCTTTGGAACATTTCAAAAGTTCTTAGAATTGGAATGATTTATCAAAAGTCTGGAAATTAGAATAATGTTGTATAGAATTTTTAGACAAATTGCAAAGGAATTTTGAGGAGAAATGAAAAACAGCTTCCTTTCCTCTATCCTTTTCCTTGGCAGTAGTAGCAGTATCAAATTAGTATACGTAAGAATATGCGCATAATCTTTTGAGGAATATCATTACCGTAAGCAGCTGTCAATAATCCAGTTGGTAAATAAAATAACAGTACAGGAAAACAATCTTAGAATATCCAAAACATTATTCCAATGCAATTTAGTGCAGATTTTTAAAGGAATCCCAATTCCAAGAATCGAAAAAAATGAGGGATTTCTGAATAACAATAGAAAATCTTTGGAAGCATTCCAAAAGAATTCAACATTTTGTATTTTGAAAAAAATTTAAAGAGTGTTCTCGGAATCAGTGATGACATAATCATTTGCAATATGACATTATTTTGCTCTCATACGCTCTCAATATCACGCGTGATATTATTATTATTATTATTATTTTTATTGGGTATCAAGCTGGAGCTGCGTGACAGCTTAGTTTTCAAGACTTGACCGATTTGAATAAATTTTGCTTCTATCTTTGACAATACAGCAGAAGGACTAGCCTATGTTGGCCGCTTGAACACTGGATTCCGTGTGTATTGTTTCAAGATAGTTATAGAAAAAATGCTGTGACGTGTGCGCGTAGATACATCCGCGTAGTAAACCGATAAGTAAATCCGTTTCGAACGTAATATCTAAATTATGTAAGTTACGAAAACCGCGCGAGTTCCGAAAGCCGTGCGAGACCAACGGAGCGAGAAAAAAGACTTATTATCATTTAAAGACTGCCACCAAAATAAATGTGATAGCCTATGTTGGCAAGTTGATTAATGTTGGTTTCCTCCCTAGATATTCTACTTATTTACTACTGAGCTTTGTATCAAATTAGTTGATTTAAAGAACGTATCAATCATTTCAAGATTTCGCGACCGCACCGAACAAATTCTATACTACATAAGCTCAAAAGCGTTTGACAAGCTCTACCGAATTGCGTATCACTTCTGCGTAAGCTCCGTAGACGTAGGCGCGTTGAATCCGACAGTCGACAAAGGTTTAACCTGTACCAACACCGCTTAATGAACGACCTCGAGTAAGTAAAACCGTTTAGATCTAAACATCTATATTACGTAAGATACGAAAATCGCGCAAATTGTGAACGCCACGCGAAACAACCGTAGAGAAAAAAAACAGCTTATCATCACTTAAAGAGTGCCACCAAAATAAATGTGATAGCCTATGTTGGCAAGTTGATTAATTTGGGTTTCCTCCCTAAATATTCTACTTATTTTACTGTTGAGCTTTGTTTCAATTTAGTTATTTTACCGCACGTATCAATCATTTCAAGATTTCGCGACCGTACCGAACAAATTCTATACTATACAGAAGCTCAAAAAAACCTTTGGTGAGCTCTACCGTATTGCGAATCACTTCTGCGTAAGCTCCGTAGACGTAGGTGCGTTGATTCCGACAGCCGCGAAAGTTAATCAGGCATCAATATCACATAAGGAAAGATCGATTTTACGTAGGGTTTAGTTCATAGATTAACATTGACTGCTGTTTACAAATGTAAGTACTTGAACACTAAGAAATAAGTAAACTCAAATGCTTTAACCGCATATATAAGAGATTTCGCGTATTGAGAGAATAATATAGTAATCGAGTACAACAAACTCAGGGGAATACAATGCCTCCAAAAATTTAAAAGTTATTAATTGTCACATACCTCTACTTTTACTTATTTCCTAAACTATTCCTCTCCTTGTTAATCTGCTTGATGCTATTGGTCTGCTGGCGTTTGCTTATTAAAGTTCAAGACTAAATAAGAAGATTTATTCTACAACTTTAAAGGTTAGTTGCCTTCCTAAGCGGACCCCCCGCATCCTAATTCTTTTGTTAATCTACTTAATGTCATTAGACTTTCTGAAATTTCTTATTTAAGTTCATTTGATGATTATGATATCTCATTATTCTAATTTAATAAATTATTAAAAGCTCTAATTCACCTAATCAATCATAACCCATGCTTTATTAAGTACCTGCACTTGTGCTTGTAATCTAAAATTAAACGTGTTTCAAGTACTTTTGATTTAAGCCTATACCTATTTATTATATCTTAGTTCGACCCAGGTAACACCTTCAAGTGACTAAAATGCTTCATTTTGAAGTTACCTTCCTAGCTGATTTTTAAATTGTATAGGGTATATGCTCCAACTATGCTCAAACGCTTCCACTATGTCGCACCACAAAAATACGTATGGGTATATCACAATAGAAGCACGCCACAGTGGAAATCCCGAGCCATAGTTCAAACACTTACCCCAAATCAAAATAAAGCACATATAAGATTAGTTACAATACCGTGTAAAAAATGATGTTTAACATTGTTTCCTGAGTAATACTTCAATGAAAACGACAATGAAATGCTTGTCACGCAAATAGAAGGAGCACCGTTGGGAACTTTCTGAAATATTTCAATAGTTTAATTCCCTTGCAAACCCAAATAAATCTATCTGCGTAAAAATAAATAAAATAAGAGTGATTTGCGGCAAAACCCGCCAGTATCACACCCAACGTCAGTGCCTATACGTAAGCGTACTACGACGCGGCTCTCAATCAAAGGAGTAACAAGTGTGATACTATCACTGCTAGACTAGATCTTTGGTTCTCTCATGCAGTGGTTTATCAGAGAGGGGAAGCTTAGTAATCCCCATTGCCTGCCCATGACGCCATTCAATCGCAGCATGAGCCAAAAACGCCGACCGTAAACCTACCGTCTCCAACACTCCACTATAAAGTATGAAATTAAGCCCGCCCACCAACAGCAAGGTGCAAAAACTAGCCAAGGGGAGGGGCTCTCAATATCACATGGAACAAAATATTATGGTTGTTATTGATTACAAGCTCTGATAGTTGACTCGATGCAAAATTTATTCCGTTGCATAT